GTGGTTGCTATGATGCTGAAGCCTGTGACAGTGATGTGCCAATCGGGGTAATGGGCACCCATGGTGGACAGTGTTGGCTGGAGCTTCCCGACTAAATCAAGCCTGGAAGCAGGAGCGGCATCCACTTCCAAAATTGGCTTGCTTCCGGAAACTCTATGTATGAACAGTGCTCAGGCTGTTCGTTCATAGGGTCGCTATGAGTCGTCTACGACTCGACGGTATTAAACAACAACAACAACACTCATATTTAGTGTCCACAGAATGTGCTTCTATCACACAATGAAAACCCATTTTCTGACTCTGGCATTATAAACAATTTTATTGTATATTTGAGTCTTCCATGGGAAGTAAAAGGATACTCAATAGTTCCCTTCAACTTTAATCCCTAAAATATTTCTGTAAAAGAAACATAAATGTACACACTGGTCCACTTATGCACCTACAGAACAGTACACAGTAGCTACTAAGTAAGTTAATTAGCATAGTTGACAGCAGCTCACTGATACTGAGGCTAAAATCAAGGGTTTGGCCATTCATGAGTCAGTTTTTCACAAGTTTTTCCTCTACCTATAGATCAAACATGAGGCAGGCTGCCCTTATGGTGCCAGGCAGAATGAAGAGTGACACATGCAAATGCATCCTTAGCACCAAGGAGATGACAAAAGACTAAGATCCTAACCCTCTTCTGCCAAAAACATGCATTATTCTCTCTTCTAATTTCCTTCTGCTTCATTCTCCTGGTCATATACATCAGAGGGGAAACTCCCAAGTGAGTAACAGAAGGTTCACTTGGTCAACAACAATGGAAACTAGAAACAGCTGAGGAAGACTGGGAGCATGACAAGATCAAGCACATCACACCTGTCAAAAACACTGAGTAAGCTTCTGGCAGAGAATAGTCTCCCTCCCTGAACATCCAAACCCTATACAATATCAGTTTAAATACCCTGAGGAGGAGGAATATGGCACAAATAATCTTTCTTCATCTGAAATTATGGAAGTGTGTGAGAGATATAGTAGGTTAGATAATGAAAAAGTAAATGGAATGGTAAGTTAGATCCTTGTGGTTCCTCAAGGAATTATCCTTATGCCCATTTCTTTTCTGCCAGTTTTCTATAATAACCCCATACTGGTCAAGAATGATGTCAGTCCCAAGAGAGGTACAGCTCCACCTCTGGGCCAGGACTTACCTGTCTCATGCTGTAGGCAAAGAGGAAGCCTATGTTGTACTTAACTTCCCGAAGTAAAGACACTGTCTGGAGGTGATCTTCTTCAGTCTCACCACAAAAGCCAGCAATGAAATCACTGCTGAGGCTCACACCTGCCATACAAAATAAAGAAGAGTAAGGTACTGCTACTTCCTTTCAAGAGAGACCTCTAGTATTTTGGCTTACCGAGGGAGGGATATCAATTGTAAAACTTTCCATATGCCCATTCTGTACATGTAAAACTATTCAGCAAATAAAACAGAACAGTCATTACAGAGCAAGGAGGGAAAGGTCTGTTATTGTTGATGTGTATGATCAAGTCGCAACAAAGCCATAGATGACCCTCCTGTGAGTTTTCAGAGGCAGTAAACTGCACGGGAGGAGAATACCTAACATTCTTGATGGAGCAGCTGGTGGATTCAAATCATGTGTCTTTAAGTTGGCAACACAATTCCCTACCACTAAGTCACCAGAGTTCTCATAGTACAAGTAAAGATCTTTTTATTTTAAATGCTAGATTTAAGGACACAAAAAGTCTACAGTTACAAATGGATTCTCTTTTCACTAATGAAAAACTTTCAGTGCTTCACACAAATACATACCTGTGAGGGTTTCCAGACACAATTTAGAATAATAACAGTAACTTATCAATTACTTAATAGGCCAAAAGTGAAGTATCTTGTCCGTGGTCACACAGTCTCCAACAGTGGAGTCACTGAAGTCAATGAACGACTATGAAGTCAATGTACCTAAAAGCTCTCACATCATCCTGTCCTACAAAGTGAAAGCATCCATTCATAATACAAGCGAAAATAACCAGAAATTGGGGGAAATGCTGAAACAATGACAACCACAGAATAATTTTGTTGGGAGGAAGGAAAAAAGGAAACAGATCTCCTTGCCAGTCAGCGTGGACATCGCCATGTACTGAAAGTCATTTACATTAAAGGGGTAAATAAGGGCTAAGATAATCAGGAAAAATCTTGAAAATTTTCAGTAGTTGTTGTTGTTATATACTGTCGAGTCCCTTGTGACTCACAGCGACCCTATGTACAACAGCCCTAAACTCTGCTCTGTCCTATGCCAATCGCACTGTCTCCGACACACCCATCCCAATCACCCTAGTCACTAAATCAATCCACCTCATCAAGGGCCTTCCCCTCCTGCGCTGTCCCTCCAATCTCCCAAGCACGATGTCCCTCTCCAAGGGCCGGTCCCTCCTTACAATATGTCCAAAATATGTTAGACGAAGCCTCAGAATCCTTGCCTCCAAGGAGTCGCCCAATTTAACCCTCTCCAGGATGAATCTGTTTGTTTTCCTAGCAGTCCATGGTACCCTCAATACTCTTTTCCAGCACCACAGCTCAAAGGCATCAATTCTCCTTTACAGTAGTAAGTTGTCAAAAAGTTACTTACAGAAAGTACATGTTTTAAAAGATAATAAATGCTCTCAAGCAAGAAATTAATTTAGATGATAACCATGCCAGTTTACTAGAAGAAATAAGCTCACACATGTTTAGAAAAAAGTCTTTAACTTTGAGGCCATAACTTTGATTATTTCTAACAGAACATTTTTCAAAAAATCATTTTTTAAAGGTGTAAAGAGCGAGCAACAGGAAGAGAAATATATGAAGAGAGCAAAATAGTGTTGTATGACTGTCACAGGCCTGGGTAAGAACCTCCATCTGATCAAGGACTATCATCACTGGTAGCATTTTATGTGTTTACTGAGCAGAATATGTTTCTTTTTTATTTTTCTAATCTATTTCTTTGTTGAGTTGCTACACTGTTGAGTTGCAGGGTATGCCCCACTTAACCACTTCTACATGAAAAATTCAGTGACACTAATGGCATTATTTAAGTTGGGCAACCATTCTCATGCTCTTTTTTGGAATTATTTCTGACACTGACATTACCATTACCATTAACAGAGAGCTTTGTTGGTAGAGTCTGTGGGGAGCTGTGCTGCTAAAGTGAAAAGGATATATAGTTTCTTAAAGTCTGGATTCCATGAAAATCTGAAATTCTTTTTATGCATTTTTCTCCTTTTGATCAGAGAATCTGTTTTTTAAATATACCTGGAATAGACTCTCTGATATGGTGAATTAACTCCACATAAGCTTCTCTTGAATACCTGCAATGAGAACAAAGAGAAAATCCCTGGGTAAATGAAATTTCTTTAAACAAACACTATGAGAGTAGTAAGTTAAAGTATAAAATTCCATACTGTAATCCACAGCCCATAAATTTTTAGTCATAGTACATAAATCATTTTAAACACTTTTTTTATACAATCAATTAAATCAAGACAGCTTAAAAATTTATAAGGATCTCAAAAATTCTTTGTTTGCTAACACAGAAAACAAGGCCAAACACTGGCTCTATATAGCTTGTCATGAGTTACTTTCTCCTTTCAGTCATTATTTTTGCAATTCTATTTCCAAAATAAGAGAACTATATTTAACACAGAGAGCTATATTTAAATTCTAAGGAAAAAAAACCCTTAATGCTAAATATTAATGGATTAAATTCTCAGTGTGCCACACAGTAGGTACGTAGGCATAAGAAGAAAGCATGGTAAACTATGCTAAGTTCTTTGCATTTTAAACACTATTTGGTCTTTAAGGAAACATGGAAACACAGGGTACGCCTGATGCCTCAAGCAAGTCTGACCCCCTACGCATGGCTTCCAATATTCGGCTGCTTCCACTCTGGGCTGGCAGATGGATCTGTTTACAGATGTTGTCTCTCTCATGAATCAGCTGCAGAACCTGATCGAACAGAACATATTATGAATCATCAAAGTCTCACCAAAGAATTTTAAAGATACAAATGACACTCCTAGTGTTTCTCTTCAACATTAATTTTCAAATAACTAAGAGCATGACTAAATCAAACATATGAATTACTCAGATTCTTTGCCTTTTATTTTTCAGATCCCTTACTTTTGCACAAGAGACCTTCTCTGTCTGTCCCAGATATTTCACCTGATGACATATCTAAACAAACCAACTACAAACTAAATTCAAGACATGGGCCTTATTTACAGATGGTGCTAGTACAAGGGGCCCAAGCTGGAAGACAAAAATAGTACTTCCTTTCTCTAGTCTACAACCTAGTTAAGAGTAAACAAGTGCTTAATCACCAAATACTTTAAAAGATCATCTATTAAATGTTAGGACTACTTTTAAGATAATGGAAGATACAAAGATGAATGATCACTTCTTTCCTCTGAAGCTCATAAAACTTGGAAACTGGTGATTTTTTTCCCCTTTTACAAACTCCAAATAGTACCTCTAATTGATGTCAAATAAGAACTGACACACAGTTGACTTCCCCAGTGGGGAGACTAAATCACCCAGGAGATAGTTCAGCTTTCTCTTTGGTAGCCACTCACCGGTGGATTCAAACTGTCAGAGCAATGTGGACTTTGGGTTAGCAACGCAACTCCTCAGGGACAGTGCTACCAGAGTAGAATGTTGGTTTTGTGGGGGTTTTTATGGTTAGGTACTGTCCAGCACAACTCACAGTGAGCCTATGAACCACAGATCCAAACCCTGTCCTATCCTGTGCCTCATCGCCTCTGACATACCGGAGCCCACAGATGCTGTCACTATGTCATTCCATCTCATAGAGGGTCTTCCTTTCCTTCACTGACCCTCCCTCCACCTTTCCAAGTTTATCATCCCCTTCCAAGGAATATAGATAGAGTAGGAGAGCAGAGTCCAAATACAATAGCAAAACAAGAAGTCATAAAACAAGTTTAGAATTGGTTCCTGATTTTGTATAACTTCCTGTATGCTACTGATAAGGCAGTGAGCAGCAACCACCTAGCAAAGCCAGAATATCTACTCTGGTCACAGTTTAAATGTTTATTCAAATTCTTTATATGTGGTGTAATTTCCCCCTATTTTCTTTAATATTCCTTTTTTTAAAATTAATAGATGCATTTTCTGTCACTTTCCATCTAATCTGCATGGCCTCTGCATGTGTGTGTGTTGGGAGAAGACTTCTTTTTTAAATAAAATTTTTACTTTATACTGGTTTAAAGTTCCTATACAATGTTTTTCATACCAGATCTTTTCCATTTCCTTTACCCAGCCCTGCCTCCCCCCAGTAAATTGTGGAACCTATGATTAACTGCCTCATCCTCACCTCTCTGCTCCTACCCTCCCCTGGCCTTGGATCCTCATACACATTCTACAATAATGGTCTTATCCAGTATTTGTCCTTATGGGACTGAGTTAGTTCACTTAGCATAATGCTCTCCAGTGCCTCCCAAGTGACATAATAATTTACAAAATCATTGTTGGGAGAAAATATTTGAGAGCCCACATCTGACTAAGGATTTATATTCAGAATATAAAGAGAAAGAGCTTTTACAACTCCATGAAATGGCAAATAATCCATAAGGAAAAAAGCAAGAGTTGGAAGACAAAACTTGAACAGGTATTGTACCAAAACAAAAGCTTATTTAAAAAGGTTCCCAGGTAGTTTCTATTTTTATTGTTATATTTCACTGAGTTACAACCAATCCATAGCTGACAATCCAGTGGGTTTTCAGAGGCAGTATAATCTCAAGGGAGGATACTGTCGATCTTTCCCACAGAGTAGCTGGTGGATTTGAACATGTGCCGTTAGGCTGGAACCGCAGCTCCTTACCACTAGGCCACCAGAACTCCCTAGAATATAACTGCTATTTCATAGTAATCCTAAACATGAAGTAATTACTAACTCTATTTTATAGATGAAGATGAGAACTTGACATAGTCATACTGGCAAAGGTTTGGAAGAGACAAGATTTGAATCAAGGTCTGTTGAAAGTCACCATCTGAGCTTTCCTTACATTGCCTCCATTCGGGCTCTTCCCGCACCGCTATTACCAATGCCATCACTGCCATAAGGAGCCCTGTAACACAGTGTTAATGACCAGCACTCTGCTGTCAATCAAAAAGTCGGCAGTTGGAACTCAGATATGGCAAAAGGTTTCTATAAAGACTATGGACCTGCCAAGTCCTCAGGGTCAATTTCACTCTGTCCTTTAGGATCACTGTGAGCTGGAATTCAACTCAACAGCAGTAAGTTTATCACTACCCTGGTACTACCACCTCGTAATATAACCTCTCTGGATAGCCCCCATGGTCCCACAGGTGACCTTACTTCCACTCATTATCAACCTCCACTCTCACACTGGTGGACCTGAAATCTTCCCACAAGGCAAGTGGATTCAGAGGGCTAGCTCACAATATACCACAGGATCCTTCAAGCAGAATTTGCATTCTCTCTTGTATCCTTACTGGGTCCAGCCTTTGACATTTAAAGTTACTGGTCTCAGTCTACTACACTGTCAGATACTGGTACCAATCTACCACACTATCAGTACTGACCTCATCAGGAAAGTCCTTGGGGTGGGGAGAAGTGAAACGGATCCTCATTTCAGGATCCACTCTGGAAACATGATCGAGAAGGTAAGAAAAACGAAGCCCTCCTTGCTTAGTTTTATAGTTGGTGGTGAAGCCACGGCTGAGGTTGGTAGGCACTGCATTGTTGAACTGGACCTCTGAATTGTCCCGAAAACTATTAACATTCTGACCAAGCAGTGTCACTTCCTTCAGCCCCTATAAAAGGGAAAATAAAAATATTAGAGGCAATTTTAAAAATTTGGTGGGTAATTTCATGCCAAATCACTAACATAGAAATTAACTAACTCAAGGATTAGTCATATATATAATCTGTCTTTAAACCAACTGCTTCAACACCTAAGCATCTTATCTAAAGTCTTAAACTTCAGTGCCGAAAAAGCCTTATGTAAAAAACAATCTGCAAAATATTCTTTAAATAGAAAAAAAAACAAACAACAGAAGCAAGCTTAAGGTTCAGTGACATTTTGCTAATTAAATATTCTATAATCTTGTTCTTAAATAACTACAGAATAATCGTCACGGTTGACCAATTGTCCAGGTTTTTGTTCTTGTTAGAATTTCAATACAAGATAAGCAATGCACTTAGCTATCAGGGAATCTCTATCAAGACTATCTATTTCTACAAGTTGTGACTAAATGTTAATTTAAAAAGCAGGATGTACTATGTACTAAATTCAAAGCAGACCTTGGATTGGATTTTGCAACAGAAACAAAGACATTAATTAATATGTCAAAGATAAAAACTAGTAATAGACATCTTACTATTGATTTAAAGTTCTTCTTATTCAGGAAGCTAATGTCAATTTTTTTTTTTAAATTCCTGAGCTAAAATTAACCGTTTTCTTTCATCCAAAGCTGTTAATCTTTTCTTTCCATTATGAATGATGTTAACATAATCACATTTTAAAAGGATAGAAAGCCAGAAACCACCTTATGAAAAGACATGAGATGATTTTGGTAAAGGGGGGAGGGGAGAGTCAATCATGTTCTGAATAGCCAATGTTTGATACTCTATTCTTTCCCCACCTATTCACTTTATAAACTTTATTGTAATTAGTCATCTACTTTTTGGGGTAAATCAGAATAGTCATACAGAGGTCTATGCATACAGAAAAACTGCTCAGAATTAAATCTTCTTTTCAATTTCTTTGAGTTTTGGTTCTTTTTAACAAGTGGAAAATCTACTTTAAGTGAGGTCTATATAGATCAGTTAACAGTGATGTACTAACAAAAAGCTCTTAGTTTTTACAAATTTATCAAAGTTAAGAGAAAAGTTAACAGATGGCATTCTCTGTACTATGTATAGGAACTTGAAACTAAGGTACTGGCATAAAGAAAATACAGTTAACTCCAGGCATAAATCAAGACTTTATTGAAACGGAAACCTTTGTTTCTACTGTTCTAAAGAGACAATTCAGTCTTTTTACAGTTTAACTACTTATGATACAAAGACAGTGACAATTACTTCCACCATGGTAGCCATAAATAGAAGTACAGCAGCCACTGTTGTGCATTACCCCACAGCCATGGACTTCAACAAGAGCCACAAAGTAACCAAAAACGTGAGGGAGCCACCATGGGTGCCTCACCAAGCACACCAAAGTTCATGTGGGACGTGATCCAGGAGGTGTATGGCTTCACATCACACCCTAGGAACGTCCCACCACGGAGCTGCTCGAGGTCTCCAAGGACAAGTGGGTCCTTAAGATCATAAAGAAAAGGGTAGGGACACACATCCATGTCAAGAGGAAGCAAGAAATCAACAATGTCCTGGCTGCCATGAGGAAGATGGCTGCCAAAAAGGACTGAGTGTGCCCCACAGTCCCCCAAAGCCCTCACCCATGTGACATACTAAAATGTAATAATTAAAAAAAAACACCCAAGGACAATAATAATTGGGATTTCCAGCTTGGACTAAGAATTGGTTGTTGAAGTATTAGTTAAGAATGTTTACTCAGGTGCAATCTCCTCCTGTACCAGTTAGATCCAATTTGATGGTACACACACAAAATATAATAAAATTTTTAAAAAGAGAGAGAGAGAATGTTTACTCAGCTTGGTCTAAAACAATGTCTTGCTCAATTTCACCTCCAGAATCTTGGAGAGGGATATCATGCCTGGGAGGGTGGAGGGATGGCACAAGAGTGGAAGACCCTCGATGAGATGGATTGATTCAGTGATTGGGGTAATGGGAGTAGGTGTTTCGGAGACAGTGAGGTTGGCACAGTATAGAGGTTTTAGGGCTCTTGTACGTAGGGTTGCTAAGAGTCGCAGGCAACTCAACGGCACATAACAACAAGAAAACTAAAATGGAGCCTATCACACGCTCTCTCTGCCACCAAACTGAACCAACTCACAGCTGACCCTCCAGAGAGTTTTCAGAGATAGGTAATCACACTAGAGGAGATTGCCCATCTTTCTCCCACTGAGCTGCCAATGGATTTGAACCACCAGAGAGACAGTGTTTTTAGGTTAGCAGTGCAACACCTTACAGACTATGCCACCAGAGCACCCTGAGATAGAGCCTAGAGCTGTGTCATAACTGAATAAGGTACAGCAAACACCGGTCAACCAAGTCTCTGTTCTGATTTCCCAACTTCATCATTTACTAAGATCTTTGTTCATCTGTAAAAACTTAAGCTTGTTACCTTAAGATAAGAGGAAAGACAGGCAGCAGTTGAGAAAGAACACTGACTTAGTATCCTTGATAGGATGCCCTATCAAACAATACTCAAGATGTAACAAATCTCAGGATGTCTGATATTAAAAAGCTGAAGATTAGAGTTTATCAGACCATTGTAACTTTTTGCCATGCTTACCCAGCCCCTCTCGATGCCTCTGAAGCACAGCTCTATTGTTTCTTTCACCCGATAAAGTCTGTACTCTCTTTCTGTAGTATGGATCACACTCTACAGCCTCGCTTGAATACTTATACTACTTTCACTACCCTTTAACAAAGGTATTCCGAAACAAAAAGGTTATTAAAAGAGAGAAAAAAAATTAAGCAAAATAAGAACACATAAAACAATGTAGTGACCACATGCAATTAAGATTTATAAGACAGTTGGAAAAATTTGAATAGGAATAGATTGGGGTGATATTTAATAATTTTATTACTCTCATCAGAAGAACAAATGATATTGCAAAGACCCATATATTTAGGGTCTATAATTAAAAGTGAAAGCGAGCTCTGAAGGCATTCATCAGCAGGAAGCCGCATTGCTAAGCCAAAGGTGGTGCTTCTCTGATGGTTCGAATTCATCAGTTCTGAGAGAGAAAACGGGCAATTTCCTACTGTGCGATTCACAGTTCAGAAAACCCACTAGAGGTTCAACTACAAGTCAGTTCCAAATTGAGCATAAGCTCGTAGAATTAAAGATTAAGTGCCATCCTATATTTTGAAACACTTAACAATAACAAAAATAAATTCACAATTAAGGCAATATTAGGGTAACTATGAACTGGCAGGGGTTGGAGAGAGAAGTATCAAATTATTTTTTCTGTATAACATTTTTTTCATTAGGATAAAATTTAAAATGTTTTCAAAGGTGAAGGGAAAGAGCTACTTCCTTGACTTCTAATCAATTATCATTGTTTGAGTAACTTACATTCTGTTAAAAGCACAGTATTTTAAACTCTTTATAACTGTACTTTCAAAATTTTAATGAAAAAAAAATTTTAAGAAGTCCCTCAACAGACTGGAGAACATTATGCTGAGTGAATTAACTAAGTCACATAAGGATAAATATTGTATAAAACCATTGCTGTAGAATGAGTATAAGGATCCAGGAGGGGTGGGAGAGGCTGGAAGCAGAGGGATGTGGATATGCAGGGGGAAGGGGAGATTAATCATTGGGTTGTACAATTTGATGGGTAGGGGGTGAGGAAATTGAAAGAATTTGTTCAAATTTGTATTTTAATTTTGTAAATAAACTAGTAGAAAAAAAATTTTTTTAAAAAGTCCCTCAATAAGATGCAAATTAAAACAAGGAGATAGCCTACATAGCTGGATCAGTAAAAAATGAACAAGAGATACATTTGTTCATGTACAAACACCTTCTATGATTTGGTTGTTCGGTTTGGAAATTTAAAGTCACAATTTCCCAGAACAACCCAGCTAACTGGTCTAATTAACCCACTTGGTGCTTCTGTTCTGTTTCAGAGTGCTTTACATAGTGCCTAGTGTCTTAAAAACTTCCAAGTGTCAGTCCTTTCAAGGCACAACTCATCTCTATTTGCCTGGAACAAGAGTAAGGAAACTCAGGAACAAAGGAAAGACAGGAAATGTATGGCTAACTGGCTCCATGAAAAGTTGCCTCCCCTTGCCTTGAGACCAGAAGAACTGGACGATACCCAGGAACCAGTGCTGAACATTATTACAAAAGATGGTAGAGAAGAATCCTAAGTTAAAGGAGGGAACAGACAGAACAAAATTTCATTTTCTCAGACTTCAGACTTTCAGGAGGTATGGAGGGTGGACAAATCCCTGAAACGTGGCCCTGAGATAGTCTTTAAACTTTAAAAAATAGACCCTGAAGTCTGCCTTGAGCCTTAACCTCTTCCAAGAACCAGCTATATGAAAGATTAAATAATAACTTTAGGGGGCAGTGAATTTATGTTACAGGTGGAAGAACAACTCAAAAAAGGAGGGTGAGAATAGTTGCACAACTCAAAGAATGTAATCACCATCACTAAATTACATGTGTAAAGACCACTGAATTGGTACAGGTTTCGCTCTGTATTCTCTCAATGACCATAAATTAAAATAAAAGAAACAAGAGATCTTGGAGGTTTCCCCAGGACAGATAGACAGACTAGTCAATCACTCCCTGAAAACTTATTATATGCCAAGTGTTTTAAAAGCATTTACATTAATCCTTGAAATAACTTTGAAACAAAATACTATTTTCATCCTCTTCACAGATGGGATGTATGCGTTGGAGAATATAGTTAAATTACACTGGGGCACCAAGAAAATGGCAGAACGAGAATCTCATCAGTTGTCTGACTCTAAAACTATGCTTTTTCCATTCCACTGTGTGGAAATCCTACAGTGGGCAAGATTCTAATTTGTGGGCAGTAAATCCAAGACATATACACACTAGGTATTTTGTTCTAGCCAGGAGTGGCCTACCTCTGTGCAACTTAGAGAAATGGCATAGGTTGTGAAACTTGAAAGTTTACCCTCGGGCTCCTACACGTTCACAGAAAAAAGTCTGGAGAACATTTCACCTGATCAGAAAGCTTCTTCACTTCCTCCAGAATTGAAGCAACAGGCCGACTCCGCTCCCGGCCACGTGTGAAAGGAACGATGCAGTAGCTGCACATGTTGTCACAGCCTCGCATAATTGACCTGGGGAAGAAAGCACCAGAAATTAATAACAGGAACAGAGTATCTTGGTCCAACCCAAGGGACAGGTCACAGGTCCCTTTGTCTTACGTGTTGGCATGGAATCATCCTAGAGTGATATGAATGTTCAGAACCATGAAGGCAGACATTCTTCACCTGATACCTAATCACAGGAACAATCCAAACTGTAATTGGTGGATAGACAGCTGTTAACCTGACTGAGGACAGTGGCTGAGCTGCAAACTTATCATTCATTGTCTTTCTGTGTATATGTACATATTGTGTAAACTACTTCTTTCAAAACCTACACAGAAGTAAATACTACAAAGTGTGTATGTGTGGAGGGGGACAAGAACTTGGATTTAAAACTATAAGATTCTGTCTTTCTTACTTCTTACTGAACTAATTCCTAGGTATCTAAGTCAAACCTGTTGCTATTGTTAAGGTCCTTTGACTCATAGTGACCCAATGAACAATAGCTCTGAACCCTGCCCTATCCTGACCCAACCTCACAGTCTCTGACACACATGACCCTAGTAATACCATTTAACCTAGCAATCCTACAACTAAGTATACATCCCTAAAAAATAGAAGCTAGGACATCACAGATATATAGATGCTCATGTTGACTTCAGGATTATTAACGATAGCAAAGAAATAGAAACAACTTAAATGTCCATTAATGGAGGAATGGATAAACAAGTATAGTATACACACACAGTGGGATCTTATGAAACATTAAAGACTAAAGAAGAATTCATGAAACATCATATAACATGGATGAACCAGAAGGAAATTATGCAGAGTGAAATAAGATAGTCAAAAAAGGAAAATACTATATTGTTGTTGTTGAGTACCATCCAATCAGAACCAACTCAGAGCTGACCTTCCAGTGAGTTTTCAGAGGCAATAAATCACACAACAAAACAATAAATGCTTAAAATCACCAGCAATAAGAGAGACACAGGGGAGCTCTGGTGGCCTAGTGGCAAGAAGCTTTACTGCAATCCCAAAGGTACATGGTTCAAATCCACCAGATGCTCTGCCGGAGAAGGAGGGACAATTTCCTCCTGTACCAGTCAGATCTGATTTGACGGTACATGCACAAAAAATAATAAAATAAATTTAAAAAAAAAAAAATTAAGAGAGACACAAATCAAAACCACAATGAGATACAATCTCACTATAGTAGCAGTGGCAAAGTTTAACAAGATAGCAAGCAATAAATGTTGGAGAGGATGTGTAGAACTTGGAACTCTCATGAAATGCTGGTGGGATTGTTAAAATGATACAACCACTCTGGGAGGCAGTTTGGCATTTCCTCAAAAAGCTGACAACAGAAATCTCATATGACCCAACTATTAACACTGATTGGAATATACCCCAAGGAAAACAGAACTGAGACACAAACAGAGATTTGTACACCTATGTTCATAGCAGCATTATTGCAACACTAAGAACAAAGAAATAGCAAAAATATCCATTAACAAATTAATGTATTGAGAAATTATGCTACATTCACACAATGGAATAATATGCAGCACTAAGGTGCAATGATTTTGTAAAATACTACGTAACATGGGAAAATCTAGAGAGCATTATGCTGAGTTAATCTGCTCAGTCTCATAAGGATAAATACTGCATAAAGCTACTACTATAAAAATAAAAGGATAACTAATAAGATGTGGATAAAAGTCCAAAAGGGGAAAAGGTGGGGGTATGGGAGGGGAGACAGTGGGAAGGGAAGAAGTCACTAGGATATCAGAGTTTGGAAGGAGTGGTGGTAAAGGAATTAGGAAAGATCCAATGGGTACCTCAAAAGACAGGGTTAACAGTAGGCACAGATCAATGGTGATTAATTTTATGTAACACAGAAACAAGAACCATGGGAAAGGGTGATGTTTCAATAGAACTTATTGTAATCATGCCATAAAACAAAATGTGTAGGAATGGTTGAATGGAATACCAATCTGCTCTGTAAACTTTCACTCAAATCAGAATAAAAAGTTGAAAAAAAAATAAAAAGTAATACAATTATATTTTAAGAGCAAGATAAAAAGTAAGAGATTCATTCCTTCTTATAGGCAGTAACTCACACAAAGGCAGAAGTGGCACTGGGGTTCATCTGGACTGGCATAACATCAGCATAGGTCTCATCCAGAGAGAGCAGTACGTTGGCAGCCTGTTGGCCTGACTCAGCAACAGCCAGCAGTCGAGGGAGGTCTCGATAGGCATCAGGACCAGCCAAAAGATCTACCATTTTCTCCCGATTGAGGATCTCTTCCTTCAGTCTCTCAGCCATGCAGCCTAGGAAGGAGAGAAAGATCTATATTCAAATGCATCTGGTCTTGTGACCACTAAGTACACACTATGAGCTTACATTAAAAAATCATGGGACAAGAAATTTCTCTAAGACACCATCCCTCAAATTTGACACTTTATAGCGTTGGCACTGCACTTCCATGTAAAAAAATCATAGAGAATGTGTTCCAGAGCAATCTAATGCCCAAAAAGCTTTGAATCACACCTAAAAATGTTTCTAGACACGAAGCATGTTTTTTAGTTGGAAATTACTTAGTGCTACAAATAAAAAATATTTTGTACCAGAAATCTGTATGTATACTTTTAAAAAACTTTGGTTAAATTCAGAAGAGCTCTGGCAGCCTAGTCAATAGGAAGGTGCACTGCTAACTCAAAGGCCACATCTCTCTGGCAGTTTCAATCCACCCCACAGGTTTCAAGCAGCCCCACAAGACAAACATGGACAAACTGCTCCTGCGCTATATTCAGCCTTGGAAAACACACTGAAGAGTCAATTATGAATTGGTTCTGACTCAATGGCAATAAAGCAGAGGCTTTTTACCATCTAGTCAGAACCAGCCCATAGCTGACCCTCTGCGGGTTTTCAGAAACAGTTAATTGTATGGGAGGAGACTGCACACCCTTCTCCAGCGGAGCAGCTGGTGGATTCAAACCACATTCCTTTGGGATGGCAGTGCAGTCTCTTACCAGTAGGCCACCAGAGCTCTCAAAAGGTTTTTTTGTAACATACAACTACACTTAGGCCCTTCCTTTTCTTATCTATTCATATTTGCTAAAACCTGGCAAGAAATCCCTTTTCAAAAAAAAAAAAAACCTTAAAAAAAATAATAATTTATGTTGGGATCATCAGGGTTTCAGTGGGTTTCCAGATTAAACCAGATTGGGAAGCAGGTCATTTCTGAAATAATGGGCCATTGAAATTTTTCTGAATAGCAATAGAACACAGTACCAGAAGACAAGGCCCTTACATTGGAAGGCACTAACAATACAACAGGCAAAAATGGCCTACTCAGAATAAAGTCTACATTAATGCTATGGATGGAATAAGCCTTTCCACTTATTCACTCAGCTTAAATGTTCCTTTGCTGACGTAGCATGATTCAGAAGGAAGAGAAACAGCAAAAAACATTCACTGATCATCAGAATGTGAAATGTATGAAGCATGCATCTAAGAAAATTATAAATTGTCAAAAAGTGAATGGAACACATACGGATCAGTATCCTAGGAAATTAGGAGGCTGAACTGGACATCTTACTAGTCATTTCAGTCAAATAAGCATTTAGTATACTATGCTAGGAATGAGATTTGAAAAGAAATTGATTGTACTGACTATCAAAAGAACATTTCAAGATCAATCCTAAAATCTAATGCTGTCAGTGATAATAAAATTCAAGGAAAACCTGTTGATATGAATATGATTGAAATATATGCACCAACCATTATAGTCAAAGATAAAGAAATTGAGAATTTTTACCAACTTCAATAGTCTGAAATAGATGATACATGCAATCAAGATTCATTAACAATAACTGGTAGTTAGAACACAAAAATTTGAAACAAAGGCTGGAAAATATGGCCTTGGTCATAGAAAAAAGGTCAGAGATCACATGAAAGAATTTTATACAACCAACAACTTATTCACTGGAAAAGACCTTTTTAATAAAACATCAATGGCAACTATGCATAAGAACCTTGCTAGATGGAAGATACAAGAATCAAAGAGGTCAGGGTCAATGGTAGACAAGACCATTCGCTGCTCACATGTAAGTTAAAGTTGCAGCTGAAGACAAAAATTAAAGCATCTTCATGAAAGTCAAAACAAAACCTTGAGTATAATCTACCTGAATTTAAAGATCATCTCAAGAACAGATTTGAGCATTAAACACTAATGACTGAAAACCAGACAAATTTATGAGATGACATTAAAAATACAAGGAAAGAAAAAGTTGTCATAAAAGACTAAAACTTTATCCAGAATATAATGAAGCTAAAGTGAGTAGGAGATGATGGCATAAAAAAGCTGAACAGAAGATTTCAAAGATTTGTCTGGAGAAGACACAGCAAAGTATTATAATGAAATGTGAAAAACCTGAAGTCAAAGGAAAGGCCATGCTTGGCATTTCTCAAGCTGAAAGACCTAAAGAACAAAAAAGCCTCAAGTTACAATACTAAAGGATTCTATCAACAAAATATTGAGTGATTGTGAAAGCATCAAAAGATGGTTGGGAAGAATACACAGTTATTATACGAAAAAGAACTAGTCGGTACGGGAATTATTTAAGAGGCAGCTTAAGATCAAGAACCTACCATACTGTGTAGATCTGGACAAGGCATGCTTCAGGCACCAGGGTAGAGGGTCATTACACTGTTAATTCATCCTGCTACGTTAGCCTCCAGACTGTCTCCTAAACATAACTCACTCAGCTGACATGAGCCACAAGAGACTCAACGAAAAATACAGAACTTCTTGAGCACCTACTACTATTAAGCAATTTCATGAGCTGTATCTCACCTAATCCTACAGCTTTTGACATTAAGGACAGATGTGTGGATCATATAACAGTTCTTCACATACTGGGAACACAGCCTCTTAAAGAAAACTGGCATATAAAGCCTAAACCTCCAAAATGACAAAGCCTGCAAATTACCAGATACCTAAAATCCCAATCCGCAGAGGCACTCGAGAGCGGGGCCGTTTTGTCTTCAGGGTTTTAAGTTGATGTAAACGATTCCAGATGGTCTGTTCAGCCTTCTCCCTACAAAGATGAAAGGGTCAAGTTAGAAATGAACATGAAAACCACAGAGTAATTAAGAGAGACAATGGGAAGAAAACAAAACCAATCTTCCACCCTTTGAAAAACTTTCTTTTACACATAGTGAGTAGCTCATTGACACAGAGATGCCTTTCCTGCACATTTCCAAATCCTGACAAAGCTTGAAACCAAACTTGAAAGCTATCTATTTCTTTCCCCTCTCTCCTCCACTGGGAGTACTTTTTTCTTTCTTGAATTATCCTTCCACTTTATGAACTTTTCTCTGAACTTAGCTATTTCTTCTTTTCATTGTTTTATTCCAAGCTCAGCCTAATCCCACACAGGGCTTTCTGCGTTACCTGTCTTGGTTTCTGCATCAGGCTAATCTACTTACAATCAGGCTCAATAGTCTTTGTGATTCTCCCAAAATACCTCGCTCAATGTCTTGCAGCAAAGGCTCCAAATAAAAATGCCGGGTTATTTAATTGAGGGTGAAGCCAGCTGTGGAAACACCACTAACATGCCCTGTACATAGAACTCAAATGAGCAACAGGTTAAAGTTACTGATATCCAGCTCTGTTCAGAGGAATTCTGTCCCCAAGTCACTGACAGTCTAGTCCAGTCAGCCATCAGAAACATGTGTCATTAGTTACCAAAAAAAAACCAAAAATCCAGATCAGGACATGTTCAGTAACAATTCCGTAGTCTTGGTTTCTTCATCTATAAAATTAATTTAAAGACCTCAACCTAGCTCATAGGGTTGCGGTGAGGATCAATAGTTAATGAATCTACAGTGCTAATAAGTGCAGAACCTGACACATATTTCAGATGCTCATCTCCACTGATATAAAATTTCAAAATTCTGACATGGGTCTGTTGGTTCAAGTCCAGAGATTGGCTAGCTTGGTATGTTTGTATAAGCACTACTATATAAGACACATTCACTTCCTAGTTAAAAAACAAATTCTCACCTGATAGAACATGTGACAAGAAGGATCACATCAGCCTGAGTAGAAAGCAAAGGGGGGAAAAAGGAAAATTATCATCTTTGAGATTAGGCATAACAAACCCCTATCCTGACACTCTTTCTAACTTGCTACCCTTCCTAACCACCCTACCTATTACATTTGTATGCTGAGCAAATAATGTGAGTAGTTGGACTACTTCTGAAGAAGAATGTTGTATCAGGATTGGAAGAAGACTCATCAACAATTTGTGTTATGCAGATGACTCAACTTTGCTTACAGAAAGTGAAGAGGACTTGAAACACTTGTTACAGAAGCCCAACGACTACAGACTTCAATATGGATTACATCTCAACAGCAAGAAGACAGAGTCTCACCACTGGACCAACAGACAACACTGTGATAGATGGAGGACAGACTGAAGTTGTCAAAGAATTCATTTTACTTGGATCCACAAACAACACTCATGGTAACAGCAGCTAAGAAACAAAACGAGGTGTCAAAAGAGGGGAAGAGGGTGTCAAGGACCTCTACAGAGTGCTAACAAGAGCAATGATGTCAGTTTAAAGACTAAGGTATCCCTGCCTGATCCAAGTCATGGTATTTTTAATTGTTTCCTATGCATCAGAAAGTTGGACAATGAAAAAGAAGAGTCAATGTCTTTGAACTGTGGTGTTGGAGAACATTATTGAATATACCATGGATTGCCAAAAGAACAAATAAATCTGTCTTGGAGGAAGAACAACCAAGGTGCTCCTTAAGAGGCAAGGACAGTAAAACTTTGTCTCACATACTTTCAGCCATACTGTCACACAGGACTAATCCTTGGAAAAAGACAACATGCAGGGAAAGAGGAGGATGAAAGAGAAAAAGACTCTCAACAAAATGGATCGACACCATGACTGTAATAATGGGCTGGAACGTATCAGAGATCTTGAATTCGGCACAGGATAGGGCAAAGTTCATAATTGTTGTTCATAGCATCACTCTGAGTCATAGTTAACTTGATGGCACCTGACAATAACAACACACCCTGCCTAAATGGTGTGCCACTCAAAAATTTTCAAAACAACTGGAACTAAAATACATATCAGGATAAACCTCAAAAATAAAACACTAAAAAAAAAAAAACAAACCACTAAGTGACAGAAGCCATAGCCAAAGTGTCACATATAATGTGATTACAAATCATATCATTTATATGAAATGTCATAGGTAAAAACAAAATAAAATTCTTGATTGCAAGAGGCTATGGGAAAGGAAGAGTGTAGTAGCTATCTAATGAATATTATTTTTCCAGGTGGGGTGACAAAAATGGTTTAGAACTGGACAGAGACAGTGGTTCCACAATACTGTGAATATACTAAACGCTACTATTACAAATTATAAAAATGATTCATTTTACGTCACATGAACTTTACATAACAACATTTTTTATTTATAAAAACAGGGTATCTTAGCCTCACGGTACATACTTCACTCAAGGGAACTCAATCTCATCAGGCTTCTAAGAACTGTATCTAAGAAATGGGATAAAGCAGAGTCTCTCTCAGGCCCAGAAGACAAGGAAAAGGAGACATGCACTTACCTCTTGAAGGTTGTTGGTACGTAGGTAGCCACTCTTCTGCAGGATGGACCAGGCTATCTCTGTGTCATTCACATTCATCTGGCAGCCATAGGTCTCCAGGTAGACTATAATGAGACAGGTTCCATGAATATGGAATCCAGACAATAGGAGACATATGTCTCCAAAGGTCTCTTCAAACATCCCAGAAACACCAGCAGCAACTGGATATTCACAAAGTCTCCCTGTCTAAATTCCTAGATACCATTAATCGCTAGATAGAAACTTAAATAAGTTAGTTTTTTGGAGCATAAGAAATACTACATTAAGTGTGCACATCAGCTATCAGTCCTGCCATTTAAAATTTAAGTGATTCCTGAGAACCAGGGAAATATGGTTATAAAATCAGAATGCAACTTGAAAAAGGGAATCAATGTCACTGAATTACATATGTAGAAACTACTGAATTGGTATTTTTGCTTTTTTTTTTTTTTAACCCCAATAAACAATTATAAACAGATTGCTCTTGTTAGGCAACACTGGGCTGGTTCTGAAGTAAAGTAACCTTATGTACTAAGATAGAATGAAACAATCAATGTCCAATCCTGTGTCATTCCTTCAGCCAGTGTGTCAATTCATCTTGTGAATAGAGAAATAGAAATAGGTAAACAGACAAACAGACAGAACAGATTGTATGGTTCTTTGGAATAAAGATCAAGCAAAATATTGGTGTTTTGTTTTTTTTTTAAAAAAAAAAAAAAAACCAAACAACTGAGCTAAAGGAGGACTCAACAAACTCAACTATATCCAACAAGTCAAATCAACTCATAACCAATCCTCTGGTGGGCTTTATGAGGCTATAAATCACACAAGAGACTGCTCATCTGCCCATCTTTCTCCCAAGAGGCTGCTGGTCGATTCAGACTGCCACAGAGGCACTTGCCTTTGAGTTAGCAGTGTTAACTTCATACAGACTATCCCATCCGAGCTCCCTAAGAAAACACTAGCTGGTTAATAGTACTGGATTATGAAACCAAGGAAGAAAAAATTTACATTCACAAGTTATCCTTCTATTTCCCAAAAAGACATTCTCTGGCCTCTGGAAATAGCAGCAGTGATCAGAAAGTGCTTAAAGGCACAAAATAAAACTGAGGCATTTCTTTAGTATAATACCAAATATCTTACATAAAGACAAGCGTGGCTACAACTGTGAAGAAAAATATAAAAATACTTTAACAATAATTTGGGTTTTTTCAGTGAAAGTTTAAGTCACAAATTAGGTTCCTATTGGACAATTTCTACTCGAATTGCTTAATGGCATTAGTTCAATTTTTCATAATGGCTTGCTATTTTTTTTAATTACGTTCTGGTTGTTCCACTGTAAGATGCAAATACTGCACAAAGTTGTTTGGGTTTTTTTGGTTGTTGGGGTTTATGTGTGTGTGCGTGTGTACCATCAAATTGGATCTGACTGGTACAGGAAGAGATTGCCCCTCCTTCTCCAGCAGAGCATCTGGTTGATTTGAACCACGTACCTCTAGGATTGCAGTGCAGCTTTTTGCCACTAGAACACCAGAGCTCCCAGCACAAAGTTTTAAGAACATCACTTTAACACTAGAAGCTCCTTCGAATTAGATTCCCTGATAAGCCTCCATCCTTGCCACCTAGCCAGCACATTATAATCCACTGGCTAGAATACAGTTCAATTGGATTTAAAATTTTAATGACAAAAATTCTACAACATGGAGTTAGCCGAGTCTGACTTCACCTGTTTCATAAAGGGGAACTGTCCCCATCAATAACAACCATGTTGTTGTTGTTGTTTTTGTTTTGTTAGGTGCTATCGAGCCGAGTATGACTCAGCAACCATATGAACAAAAGATCTGAACCCTGTTCTTTCCTGTGCTATCCTCACACTTCCTGACACACAAGAGCCCATTATAGCTGTCACCATACATAGTACCAAACAAATAACTACACGGTCAGACATGTCACCCTACATGCTCCTGCACCTATTTCTACCAATCATTGAGTTCAATGTTTGTTGTACCTTGACTCACAGACTACTCACAGTTGTGGGGTTTATAGGGAAATAGGTTGGGGAAAAAGGATAGGCAAAGAATATCACACAATGCAAGTCCAGGCTTAGTCCGGTGGTCCCAAACCAGATTAACAAAGCACAATTCCTCAATTAGTGAAAGTCTAGGTTCAGCAGCACAAATAAACCTTTCGTTTCCTCAATCACCCAGCAGTTTTTCAAATCAGTTACAAGTCAGCCTTTCCTTCAACCATCCAAAAAGCAAAACCTTTAACTGTGGCTCCATCTCCAAGGTTATTCTGGTTTACACCATACCAGTCTCTTCACCATCTGCCTCAGTCTCTTCACAGCAGTGTCACAGTCTCCACCATCATTTTTTACAGTGTGAAAAGCACTTTCTTATACTAATCCCACAGCTGATGATTTGCAAGACCATGTGTCTGCTGTTAAGATAGCTGGAGACAGGGAGCACTGGTGGCCTAGTGGCAAGAAGCCATGCTGCAATCCCAAAGGCACATGGTTCAAATCCACAAGCTGCTCCACTGAAGAAGTACGGGCAACCTCCTCCTGTGCCAGTCAGATCCAATTTGAAGGTACACAACAAGGGGGAGGGAAGATAACTGGAGACTATGCCCCCAATAGAGGCCAATGCAATGGATAGAGGAGCCAGTTTTCAAAGTAATTTAGTGATACCACAGAATCAATTAAAAAATAGCAGTTATTTATAAAAAAGGAAAAACAATGAGGGCTTTTGTTTGTTTTTAAGCCTTCCCTTGCTTAAAAAACAGCAGTTATTTATAAAATAGAAAAAACAATGGGGGCTTTGTTTGTTTTTTAAGCCTTCCCTTGCTTATTTTCCTTGTCTGAAAAAGAAAAACACCAATAGATACTGAGGAGACTAATGAATTATAAAAACAAACTATCCTTCACACCCATGTTTACCATGGCTTTGTTCACAATAGCAAGGAATTGGAAACAACCTAACTGCCCATCAACAAACAAATGGATAGAGAAGCTGTGGTATAGTCACACAATGGAATACTATGCTGAATTGAAAAACAAGGAACTCATGCAGTATAATTCAAAATGGGTGACGCTGGAGGACATTATGCTGAGTGAAGTATCTCAGTCACAAAAGGACAAATACTGCACAGTGCCACTGTTTTGTAAAACAGGACTGACCTCAGGGTTGGGGGGAGACTGAGAAAGATGGGTTCAATAATGTATACTGCACTGAAACAGATGAGGGAGTAAACTGAATAAAAGGGATATGTGATTAGGTATTTTTGTAATGACGGGAGTCCAGAGCGAAGGCTGCATAGTGGAGTGGGTCTGGGGGGAGGGATTGTAAAACAATGAAAGAATTTTTCTTTTACTTTTCCAGGAGGGTAGTGTAGTGGGGGGGAGGGCTGGGAGGGGAGAAAAGTGCAACAATGAACAAATAGAAATTCAAAGTCTCTGTAAATTTTCATTGAAATTAATAATAATAATTAAAAAAACTATCCCAAGATTATCTTTTAGCTAAAAAGCAGACACACAATATATAAAATAATATCCATAAGCTCAGCATTCTATTAAAAAAAAAACTCTGAGTCCAGAAAGTCAGTATTTAATCTAGCGCAAATATGAGACAAGGAAGAGAAATGATAGTTCTAGAAATGGACCAACTAGAACACAATGAGAATGCTGACATATCTGAAAAATGTAACTAATAACTTTGATCCATTTGTATGAACATTATCAAACACGAACCTAATGTGCTAAATAAATATTCAACGAAAACACAGTAAAATATTATAGTGGGAAAAAAATACCAATAATCTGACCCTGAATAGTGGAATGGAGCAAGATAGTAAAGAGAAAAAAAATCAACCTTTTCTCTGTCTTCCTAGAAGTTTGTCCACTGTAAGATAAGGCGGTGGGTCCTCTGCTTCTGGAAAAGATGGCTTTTCTTGAGGAGGTGACATACTTCTTAAAAAATGCTGAAAAGTCGGTCCATTCATCAGCCTAGAGCTAAAATCCTTTGGAACTCCATTTTGCTGCCTTTCTAAACTGGGACGTGCAGCGTCAGAAAGCCTGCTATGCGCCTTGCAGTTCTGGAGCCGCAGCCGGGACACAGAGGCCAACGGGCCCCTCCTCAGAGATCCCCGTGCTCGTAGGACATGTTGTAAAGGCTGCATGACACTAAAGAGACAGAAACCTGCAAGAGAATGACAGACCCCACTAACATTTATTAAACATTCTGTACTGCTTGAAGCACTTCAAGTACACACTTCATCTAATCTTCACAAAAGCCCATTAAACAGATAATTACTTATATAAAATATAATGTACATGAATGAGTGTATGAAGCAAAGTACATGTACAAAGCATGTATATGCATATAAATGCAAACTAATAAAAAATATTTTTTAAAAGGTTAATAGTATCTCTAATCTAATTTATAGGTAAAGAAACTTGTCCAAGGCAACTTACCCAAGACCATACAAAGAAGTGGCAGAAATCAAATGCAAATCAGATTGTCTGATTTACAGACTTTTTAAAACAAAGATGTAAGACAAATAAGTAACAAAAGTAGCCCCAAAACAGAAAAGAGCTCTGTGGCCATTAAGTATATTAATTCTTCACAGAAATCCTCAACAACTTATACAACATACACTACTTCCTTGTTCAGAGATGAGGAGAAAGAGACAGACTCAGGAATTACCAATGGTCCCACAGCCAGTAAGTAGTACAGCCAGAATTTAAATGAAGGCCTATGTTACTGTGTTATCAGGACCTTTGTTCACTTTGCCACAGCCACACTTACAGTATCTTTATTTTTCCCCCCAATGTCTTATTCTTTGTAGCAATGTACCACACACAATGTTTCAGTACGTAATCCACTATTATTATTCTCAAGGTAAAAACAAAATCCTCAGAAACAAATAAAGATTGGATTTACACAGATATGGAAAATAACAGGCAATAGTAATAAAAGTTTTTAAAAAGAGAGATATGCAACTTATATCAGATCCAACTAATACCGAAGTCATTAGAAAATAATCTAATTGTAAACAGGATCCCAGACCAGTACTGTGAAACAACTTATTGGCACAGGGCATCTTCCTTTGAGTTCCTTCAACAGGACAAGTGTCTAACATGTGAGGCCTATCCCCTAATTCTTCCACTTGTCAAGACTCTCAAGCTCCTTCCCACTCTGTCCTTTGCACACATGGTTGTAGAGGATGGAAAAATGCACAATCTTTCCAAAAAGGAAATTTGTTCTTTTCCATCAAGTAACAACTATATTAACTCTTTTACGTAAGAGTCCCATTCCTAGGTATTTATCTTGCAGATATATGTGGAAAAGACCTATGTATAAAGATACTCAATGCAGCAAAGACATGAAAGGGAAAGATCTTAACGGTGTCAAAACGGACCTATAAAAAAGTCATGGTACACTCATACAAAGGAACAAAATGCAACTGCTATAAAGTGAGCCTGAGCTCTAAGATTTATACGCAACAAAAGCAAGGAGATAAGGTGCTCAACACTACCTACACATGCTGCACTAGGATCTATGGGGGGAAAGGGAGCTAAAATTTTGAGATACAAGTTTGTGAATGCTCAGAGTATCTCTAGAATGCAAAAGAAACAGTGGATGCCTCCCAGCAAGGAACGTACCTAAGTAAGTCAGATTTGCAGGATGGGACATACTTTTCAATATATGGTCTATGCACCAACATGTTGAGTTTCATTGCCTCACATACTTAAGATCACTGTGCTGATTTTTATTAGTTTCTAAACTAGAATACCTTCCTTCTACTGACCTGACCAACATGTATGTCATCTATAGTTCTCTGCCTCCTCCTGGAACCCTGACTCTAACCCTACCTCCACCCTTCAAGTCTCAGCTGAGATCCTACGCCGAGTTCTCCCACTGTGACCATTATTGTTATATATACCATCAAGTCAGAAATGACATATAACTGACTCTCCAGCAAACTTTCAGAGGCAGTAAACTCCATGTGAATTGACTGCCTATTCTTTCTCCCATGGAGCAGCTGGTGTATTCAAACTGCTGGTACCTTCAGGTTGGCAGCGCAGCTCTCTTACCACTAGGCCACCAGAGCATGACAAAACTCATTACACTTTGCTGTTACTATTCGCAGCATTTAACAACAACAACGAGAGAGCTCTGTTGGCCTAGTAGATAGAAAGTCATGCTACCAAGCCAAAGGTGGATGATTTTAATCTGCAGCCCTAAGGCCTGGTTTTAATTGGTTTTGGTCAAACCTTCTTCTAAGTGGTTTAGCACTGGTCTGTCCATTTGCTGTACAGAGGTAACTCGTGGTTGCTGTGATACTAAACACTGTGACACTGATGTGCCAAATGCAATAATGGTTATCCATGCTGGACAGTTAGGTAGAGCTCTCCAGTTAAAACAAGCTTGGAAGCAGGAGTGGCATCCACTTCTGAAGTCTCTTGCCTGCGGAAACTCTATGAACTTGGAGAAACAATGAAAGTTATACAAGTGTTCAGGTCTTTTGTTTTTAGGGTCGCTATGAGTCATCTACAACTCAATGGCACCTAACAACATTGCCCTTTGAAAACTGTAAACTCCTTGAAAGCATGGATCAAATCCCATTCACTTCTGTACTTCCAGCAGCTCACATTGCAACAACTAGATCAAGACAGGTGCTATACATGTTTAATGAGTACCTGAGCCTCTTACCTGCAATATACACTATCAGCAATATACACTATCAGCACCTTGGGCAGTGTCAGAGATGCTCAGCAGGAACTGTAGTCACCAATTTTCCTCTCCTACTTTACCATTAGCAAGTCAGTTTTCTCTATCTGAGCTGCAAATTCCATACCTGTAAAATAAGGGAAACTTGTGAGAATTAAAGATATTAAAAGTCTAACTTGACATACATTAAATCATCAGTTACTGCACTTTCACAGATCACACTGCCTTTCCTGGAGAAGATATTACAGGCGATGGTTAACAACATGGATTCTAGAGTCAAGAGTGTGAGCCCATTGATTACCACCAGGTAGCCCTGAATACAATCCTCAAAACTCTCTAAGCCTCTTCTTTTTCATATGTAAAATTGGGATTTTACTTCTGAAGGGCCCTAGAGGTGTGGCAAGTTAGGACCGCTAATTTAAAGGTCATAAGTTTCCACCCACCAGCAACCTGTGGGAGAAATAAGGCAGTCTCTTTTCATAAAGATTCACCACCTGGAAACACCACGTGGCAGTTCTACTCTGTCCTAAAGGGTTGCTATTAATCAGGATCTACCGGACAGCAGTAAGTGGGCAACGATCTCCAAAGATATTGGGCAGAATTAAATAAGATAATGCAAGTAGGAGGCTTGAATAGTACAAATGCAATGGGCTTTGTGAACATCAACTCGTAACTAACAATGACTACAATATTCCAAACATTAGGTGGTATCCTGGGTCAGATCTGGTGGTAAACGACCTACATAGATTACTATTTTGTATTCTTCACAGCAACACAGTGAGGCAGATTCTACTCCAGCCCCAGTTCACAGGTGACGAAGCCAAGGACTGAGAAGAGAGGGGCTCGCCTTGATCAAAATTAACAGAGAGGACGCGAGGTTGGGGTATGAATACCGGCAGTCCGACTCAAGGACGTGCGCTGCAATCACCATGCATCCTCTCCTATAACACCGCGGCTCCACGGCGCTTGCTGCCCCAGACACGGGTCGTGGGTTGTCGCACAAACAAGCCCAGATCGCAGCGTCGCTCACCTTCCACAGACTACAGACCCAGTTGACACCATAGGAAACTCCCGCAAGCAGGTTCCGTTCCGCTCTCCGACGTCCGGCGCCGCGCACACATACGCAAAACTTCCGGTCCGCTCTCCGACGTCCGGCGCCGCGCACACAAGCGCAAAACTTTTGTTCCGGCGCAACCTCCGCCTGAGTCCTTGGAAGTGCGTGCACTACTTAGTTCCGGCAGAGCCCTACTCCAGGCTAAGGGAAAAAGCTGACAGCTGCTGCTCAACCATCTGGTGGCCGTTAGCCGCGTGTTGATGTACTTGATATGTTGTGAATGGGAATTAAATGTGCTCTAGATCCCCCTGCTGTCTCAGAATTAAACTGCACTCTATAGTTTTCATGACCATGACCATACAGAAACAGATCGCCAGCCCTTTCGTCCAAGGTGCCTCTTTGTGCATTCCTTAAGCAAACCTTCAAGTTAGTTACGAGCAAGCACGTAACCGTTGGCACCACCCGGGAACTTCTTAAATTACATATATAGTAGATTTCAAAAAACTAAGGTAAAATATCCCATCAATAAATTTTATAATTGGAAAGTATGGCATCAAGATGAGAGGAAGACTTGGATCAATAACCTGCGTTATGCAGATGACACAACCTTGGCCTGCTGAAAGTAAAAAGGACTTGAAACACTTGCTGCAATAGATCAAGGACTACAGACTTCAAGGATTACATCTCAACGTCAAGAGAACAAAAAGCCGCACCACTGACCAGTAGGCAACATTGTAATAGATGGAGAAAAGCATGAAGTTGTGAGTGATTTCATTTTACTTGGATCTGTACTCAACAACTATGGTAATGTTGTGTATGGACCTACTCATAGCTGACCTTTAAGCGATTTTCAGAAGCGGTTGTTTGTCCATTTCTCTCTGCGGAGCAGCTGACAGATTTAAATCACGTTCCTGTGGGTTGATAGTACAAAAGACATGATGCATTGCAAATATCTGCTGTCCAGGATCTCTCCAAAGTACTAAAGAGCAGTTATTGGAGTATCGATTTTGTTGACCTTTTCAAAGAACCAACTCCTAGTTTTGTTGATAGTTTCAATTGTTTTTCTGTTTTCTATTTCATTTATTTCTGCTCTTGTTTTTATAATTTCAGTTTTTTTAAAGGGTGTCGGGTTTTCTTGCTGTTCTTTT